GGCGTCGATTTCGTCCTCTTGATAGGTAACGGAGCAAACGCCACGATCCGGATTGATACTCGGGGCGTCGATGCTTTGGATCGGGATCAACCGGTGGAGGTCAGTGTCTTTATTTGAAGCCAGGGCAGCCGAGGCGTCTGCTTCAGTATTTTCTGCTCGGGGTATCTTGGACAGTTTGAAGGTCTTGAATTCCTTTCCCAGGCTTTGGACAAGTTTGAGATACTTGTCCATCCGTTCATCTTTGGCATCGTAGTCTCCGCTAAACTGGTTTGCCACTAGTTGGGAGTCACAGAATGCTCGGATGTGTTCGATGTTCATGCCGTGAGCGAGTCGTAGTCCAGTGATGAGGGCTTCGTACTCGGCTTCGTTGTTGGAGGCCAGAAATTCTAAGAGGAATGACTGCTCGAGGACTTCACCAGTCGGAGCTTCGAGCTGTATCCCGACTCCTGAGCCGTGTCGATTGGATGAGCCATCCACATGAAAATTCCAGTGTTGAACCGTGGTGAGGTCGTCGCTGAGAAGCTCGGGTGGCAGTTCGACCAAGAAGTCGGCCAAGACCTGGGACTTGGCGCAGGTATGGGTGCAGAAAGCTCGATTGCCCACTTGGCCATCCGACCGGATTGGGTCGGGCTGTGAAGAATCGTTCGAATACGCTGACTCGTAAGGATAGCTATCGTATGAGACTAGAAGTACGGGCGCAGCTTCCGGGATGATACGACTACTGCGAGGGCGAGCTTCTCTAAGGTCGGGTATCGAAGCTCCGCGCCGTCTGAACTCTTACTGATGTAGAAGACCGGCTTCTGTTCACCACGGTCTTCTCAGACGAGAACACCGCTAATGGCCGAGCTTGATAATGCCACGTATAGGTAAAGCGTTTCGCCATCTTTGGGTTTTGCGAGCATGGGGGGCGTTGAGAGGTAAAGCTTCAATTGTTGGAAGGCTTCTTCGCACTTGTCATCCCAGAGGAAGCGTTTGTTGCTGCGAAGAAGTTGGTAGAACGGGAGGCAATTTTTCGTGGACCGGGAGATAAAACGATTGAGGGCGGCGATCCGTCCGGTCAGCTTTTGGACCTCACGTGTGTTGCATGGCGAGGGTAGCTCGAGGATGGCTGAGATTTGCTTCGGGTTTGCTTCTATGCCACGTTGAGTGACCAGATAACCGAGGAACTCGCCAGATGTGACCGCGAAGGTGCACTTCGCAGGATTCAGCTTCATCCCGTAGGTGTTGAGGATTTGGAAGCATTCGCGCAGGTGGGTGATGTGATGGTCGGCCTTTAGTGACTTGACAAACATGTCATCGATGTAGACCTCCATTGTGTGTCCGAGCTGGTCGGCGAACATCTTGTTAACCAGTCTCTGGTAAGTAGCGCCGGCATTTTTGAGTCCGAACGGCATCACCTTGTAACAGTATGTTCCTCTGTTCGTGATGAACAAGGTCTTTTCCCGGTCTGAGGGGTGCATCATGATCTGATTGTACCCCGAGAATGCATCCATGAAGGATAGCAGCTCGTTGCCGGCGGTTGCTTCTACGAATTGAATGATGCGAGGCAGCGGGAAGCTGTCCTTAGGGCAGGCCTTGTTGAGATCCGTGAAGTCGATGCAAACGCGCCATTTTCCGTTCTTCTTCTTTACTACCACGGGGTTGGCGGGCCAGTCCGAGTATTGAACCTCTTGAATTGATCCGGCAGCAAGGAGCTTCTCGACTTCATCCTGGACGGCCTGAGCTCGCTCGGGACCGAGCTTGCGCCTCTTCTGTTTGATGGGTTTGAACGTAACATCCACGTTCAGCTCGTGGCTGGTGATGGTCAGACTGATCCCCTTCATATCCGCCATGGACCATGCGAACGTGTTGACGTTCTCACGGAGGAAGGCTATGAGGTCGTCGCGCATACTGGGAAAAAGCTCGGTACCGATTCCGACGCATCGTTCGAGGTGCTCAATGTCGATGCTCACTTGTACGACCAGGTTGTTCTTTGGCTTCTCGTGATGCATGACGCGGGGATTCATATTATTGATAACGAACATAGACGAGTGTCGGACTCGATGCTCGGCGATGTAGCAAGACCGGGATTTGCGCTGGTCGCCTCTGATCGTGATGATTCTCTTTCTGTCTGGGTACTTCAGACATTGATGATATGGTGAAGTAACAGCTCGCATAGTACTGATCCAAGGTGTCCCGAGGATGACGTTGTAAATGGCCGGTCTGTCGATGACATCGAATTTGATCATGGTGACGATGCCTCTTTTGGTCGTGATGGGCAGTTTGATTGTGCCGATAGTCGAGGTGGAGTCGCTAGCGAAGCCCGTGAGTGCTTTCAGGGCGACTTTGATCTCGCTGTCTTTGATCCCCATCTGAATTAGTGTGGTCTTGAATATGAGATCGACAGAGCTGCCTGTGTCGACCAAGATCTTCGAGACATCGTCCGATCCGATACGGAGAGAGATAACGAGCGGGTCGTTGTGCGGGCGGTCAAGACCTTCAGCGTCAGCTTCCGTGAAGGTGATGGGCAGGGTGTCGTCGTAGACCGGCGTCTCTTTCTTGGCGTTCGTGGCACGGCGCTCATGTTTTTTGATCGAGTCATTGCATGTAAAGAGGCCGCCCATGATCATGTTGATCCTGCGTCGGGGTGACGGGAGTGCTGGTGGTGGTGGAGGTGAGTCCTCCCGTGCACGCTTGGGATTCTCGTCAGGACGGGTCTGTTCCTGATGCACGGGGGCGCGTCGGTCGTCAGCCCGAGAGCGGGCTTGATCGGCACGGGGTCGGCGTGAGTATCCGTCTCGTAGTCGGTAATCCAGTTTGATCCTACCGGCCAGCCATTCTTGCATGAGGACATCTCTAAGGTGGCGGCATTCGGTGTCGTCGTGGCCGGAGCGCTTGTGCCAGGTGCAATATGGTTGCGATCCAGAGGCGTCGCCCGAAGAGTTTACCCATTTGTTCTATGGGTGAGGTCGGGTGGTGGTCGAGACGTTGGCCTTGCGAGTCTTGTCGTCGCGATCATAGTGTTGGCGAGGTTCCTGGTACTCCTCTTCTTTAGGTCGAGAGCTAGTGGACTTCTTCTTCGCTGCGAGTTTTTCGTCCTCTCTTGTTTGTGTGGCTTTGTGGAGGAGTTCGTCGAGAGATGTAGTTTTGCCTGTTGTCACTTTATCGTAGAACTTTTGGTTCTTGCGGAAGTTGAGGCCGAGTGCTATCAGGGCGTTCTCGTCTGTTGGGTCGCATCGTGCGACGACGGCGCGGAAACGGCCGATGTAGTCGCGGAGAGTTTCCTTTTTGCCCTGGACACATGTCCACAGTTCGGCGGTGTTGCCTCCTCGCTCGATATACATGGAGTAGTGCCGGAGGAATTCCAATGAGAGTTGGGCAAACGTCTCGATGGAGTTTGGTTTGAGCTTGGAGAACCACTGGAGGGCGTTTCCGGCAAGGGATTCCACGAAGTATTGGCAGAGGGAGGCGTCATGTTCTTCTGGTGAGAACCGGGCTCGGTTCATCGCGTTATTGAAGGTCATGAGATGTTTTTACGGGTCCGTGTTGCCGACGAATGACGCTGGAAGCTTCAGTTTCACGGTGTCTCGGAGGGGTACGCGGGTGATACAGTCTAGGAATGACGTCTGTTGAGTAAGCTTTAGGACCTTCTCAAGCTTGGGGGCCGAGCTAGTCGCGTGGTGGACTTGAAATTTGATTTCGTTGATCCTCTGGTGGAGACGGGTGAGCTTGGCTTGCTCGGGGGTCTCGTGGGAGGTAGAGTCCGGGGCGGACAGGCGGGATTTGTGCTTAGGCGCTGCCCCGTTCTGGGGTGGGTGTTTTGCCGAAGATTAGGCGCTTGGCTCCGGATGCGGTGATGCCCGGGGGTATATGGATGGCTCTGGGAGTGCCGGTCTTGGTGTCGTCTTCGTCTTGCGGTGGAGATTCGGGTCGGGACTCCCGTAGTGTCTCCAGGTACGCGACCTACTGAGCTTTGAGAGCCCCGATCTGGTCGTTCAACTTGTTGTCCATCTGCGCCATGAACGATTGTAGGATGGCGGTGATGTCCTTTGGTGCGGGTGGAGGCGGAGGGGGCGGGAGTGTGCCCGTCGTGTTGAGGGAGCTCCGGGCTGGCGGAAGGTTGGTCTCGTCTACCGTCCCGTGCTGTTGGACGTTTGAACTGCCACCGGGCTCTAGGGGGGCGACGCCCAGTCCGGTCTGCAGTATCCTTGGGTTGTTCCCGGCCTGATTTAAGGCGGGTGGTTGGATGATCGTATCGTCGGTGGTACTGTCAGTGGATCGCTTCTCCGTAGACATCTACGAGTTCCGGCGCGAGTGGACGAACTTGTATCTTTTTGTCCCCACAGACGGCGCCAATTGTAAGATCTAGATATTTCCTTAAGAGAAAATATAAAGATTTGTGGGGAAAAAGATTAAGTCATTTTATTGATTAGTCGGAGCTCGAAGAGTACAATGGATTTAGGTCGTCGGAAAAGAACGCCGGCCTACAATTTGAGAATAAAGAACCGAGATTTAAAGCTGCGAGCTATAAGCTATTGTTTGCCCTAGATCTCAAGTTCGAAGTTGTGAATGAATGATCTTCGAGGGAGGGGGCTCTTCTTATATAGCCTTCGTAGACCGCCTTGAGAATAATCCCTCTCTTTCGGGATTAGGATCATTTTCTTTCTTCTCGGGATTCTCTTTCTTTTTCTTCCGCGATTCGAATATATCTTCGGATATTTTCATATTTGAGCGCCGACCTAAACCCGGAAGCGGAGGTAAAGCTTCAAATGGGCCTTGTCTCAATTTATGAAGGGCTTTTAGCAAGGGGTGCTAAACCCATCACTAACACATATACACTACTTAGAATGTAACTACTTATACAAAAACATTATTGTTTTTTCCTTTTATCTGAAAATGCTGTATTATATGAATGTAAATATCATTCAAGAATGAGAAGGACTGAATAATTTACAAAACTTGCTTCACAAACATATATAAAGTTTTCCTTGTCAAACAAATAAAGTTTATTTGAGACTTGTGAGGATTGAATGCTTTTCAGGATTCCCATAGAGTAGTTTGATCCAAATCACTATGAAGAACTTAAAGTTTTTTTGTTCGTTTCCCCTATAGGTGGGTTTTCATCAATTGATCGTATGCGAACTTTTGTGCATATTCTACAAAACTCTCATAAAAACCTTTGTACAGATTCTACATAACTCTCATAACATTTTCCCCAAGTATATTATGTGCAACCGAACATATCAAGAACACAAAAAGAAGAAGATGTCTTCTTCACACATCCCTCCTTTTAACACATTTGTAACTTGCATCACCTCTTTATCCCATGTTTGGCAGCGGTTCTTGCCTCCAGGCTGAGGAAGATGGTATGTGATAAGTTAGCTATACCGCTTGCCTTTATGAGGAAGAAAGCTAAAGATCGATTGGCTAAGAAAGATGGAGAGAAGAGGATCTACAAAAGTGGCTACAGTGGAAACGAAGAGAAGACTCCCTAAGTCTCTTACTGAGAGAGAAACTCCCTAAAGACTTAGCCACACTTCTCTTCACTTCCACTCTAGCCACTTTTGTCAATCCTCTTCTCCATCTTCCTAGCCAAACGTCCTCCTCTATATTCTTCCTCATGGCTAACTTAATCAGTATGTTAACTTCCCTGTTGCGTTATATACCAACCATATATGAATCAGGTCTGGTACTTGGGTCTAGTGTACAGACCGTCAAAATGGATCATGCAACAAAGGCCAAGCAAAAGTTAGATCTCTTAGTCATGTCATATCTTCCTTCATGGTTTTCCATTACTCTTCCTCTGATTCTTGAGAGCTGCTTTCTTTTTCAGCAGCACGCTCCAAGAGATCTTCATAAGCTCTCATAGATTCAGCTGTAAATCTCTCCATAGCTTTGAAAACACGCTGAAGACTACCTTGTAAGCTCTCGTTACCAGTGTCGATTTGGTAGACGACGCTATCATCGCCTTGACCCAACAGAACCATTTTCTTTTCAAGTTCTTGAATCTCTCTCTGTATCCTCTGTTCCTCTCGGTCCACGTTCCTCGAATCACCACCGTGCCCTAACATCCCTTCCCGGGTTTCTAACCTATCTTGTTCCCAAAGATGAAGCACACTCGTTGTGAATCTGCGCATGGCCTCGATCACTTCCTTCTCTGATATTCTATCTAAAGCTTGTTCCCATTGGTTAACGATCACGAAAATCAATGGAGCACCGATACGACCAGGAGAAAAAGGAACGATTCCATCAGGAGTTTCCTCAGGTTCATAGATAAGACACTTCATAAGCCAACTATTCAGCTCTCTCACGAAACCCTTTTGTGCGCTAATCCAGCTCGAGAACCCTAATATCAAATTTATAAGTTCATTCCCAAGCTTCTTTGTAGCTTCAAGATGCTCATCACCGAGCTTTTTGCTTACTCTAATAGGGCCTAAACCTCTAGCTTCCTTAATAGCTTCACACTGACTTCGATGGCAATCAAGCATTGATTTCCACATTCTGCTAAGCCTAAAAACAGAGAATGAACAGAAATAAGAAACAGATCATAGTGAAATACAGACTCTGCATTTTAAACTTCATCTAGCTTACCCTTGGATCAATTCATTCAGTTGCAGCCATAGCTCTTCGTCTCTTATCTTGTTAATCGTAATGGATACTTTGTCAACGACTTGAATCGCAATCCTTATCTTAGTGGACAAACTTCTCACTAATCTTCTTGTTGAATCTACTTTTGGAGTCTCTGCACCTCTTCTATCCAAACGCTTCAGCTTCCTTAGCTTTTTCTCGTGTAACAAACGCAGTTTCTCCTCTGCCTACATGAGAGGACACGCACGTTACAGTTCAAACCGAGAAAGAGTAACAACAGAGGAAAACAGAACACGGTCGCTCGTATATATCAAACATACCTTGACTTCATCGTAGAGCTTCTTCTCCCAGAGGTGTAGCTTATGCAATGTAGAAGAAAGAGTACGAGACCTTAATGCAAGCTCTGCCTCAATGTCTGCGTAAGTAGGTGCAGCCGCCGCCGAAGAAGAAGAGGATTCAGCTTTCTTGGAGGTTGATGGTTGAGATGACGACTCAACAGACGGCGATGCAGGAACCCCGTGAAGCATCTTCGACGAAACTGATCCAATACACACACAAAGAATCAAACTTTCGGCAACAGAATCAAACTTACAATTCACCAGATTTCTACAAAGATGCAAAGAATCAAACTTTCTGCAACGGAATCAAAATTACAATTATCTATTCACTAGATGTCTACAAAGAATCAAACTTTCTGCAACAGAATTAGACTTGCAATCATAAATTCACTAGATTTCTACAAAGACTCAAACTTTCTGCAACAGAATTATTAAAAACCAACACAAAACGAAAGATTTGATCACAAAGAGGTAAGATTTGGTAGCAAATGATGATGAAGTCTACCATGTTTGCGACCATAACGATGCTTTCCCACTTCAAGCATCACTGCAATCTCACTTCCTGACTCTGCGGCTCTCAAGAACTGAACTTCTATCTCTTTCGCAACCTCAGGGACACCACGCCGGCCGCCGCTACCTCCTCCTCCTCCAACGCCAGGTGGCGCCGGATTACTCCTCCGCACTTTGTCTCCGCCGTCCTCAACAACTTTCTTCTCCACGACATGAACCTCGTACTCCTTCTCTTCTTTCTCAACCGACACGCTTGGCCTAGTCTGATACAGAGAAGCCTGACCACCGCCGCTAGTGCTGGCACCACCGGAGTTACCTGGGGGCTCTTCCTTCTCATCAACGGCGGGAACCGGAGGTTTTCCGGCGACGAGTTTCTGTTTCCCCTGTACTTCCTTCACAACCTCGCGCTGAAAACCCACTTCCTCCAAATCCGGAATACCCTCTTCCTCTCTCACCTCTCTCGAATCCCGAGTAAGAGTGTAGGGCTCGTAATCGAACAGGTTCAAGAAGTCCCAAGCCGTTGACTTCGGCGGAGATGGTGGTGACGGAGGCGGTTTCGACGACGATGAAGATACGGGTCCGTGATTCGGGTACGGGTTACTCGAATTGGGAGGATAAAGGTATGGATTATAGCTAGAGTTTGATGATTCGCCGATGTAAACTCTCTGAGGGTTCGAAGGTCTCTGCTCGTAGACGACGGAAGGAGGCATCGAGCTGTTCTTCATGTAGTTCATATGCAAATACGAGCCAGTGTAAGACGGAGGAGGATTCGAATTCGGGTAATCCTCGTCGTCGATATGGTGATGCAGAGGGGACGAGTGATCAGAGTGATGCAAAGAATCGATTTCGTCGGAATCCGAATCGAACTCTATATGACCTGACCCGGAATCCGAGTTAACTTTCGGTTTCTTGGGCGAATCGTCTTCAACTTCCGGGTCGTGAGACTCTCCTCCGGCGAAACGGTGGTGGTGATCGATGAAGCTGTGAAGAGGCTGGCCGATTCCTTTCAGGGATTGTGTGTAAGCCACGTGTGACTCGGAGAGAGCGTAACGCTGCTGAATCGCTGCTTCTAAGAAACCGCAACGGTCGCGACAAAGCGCCACCGCCGGAAGATCGTCGAGCTTGGAAGTTGTACAACCCATCAAATCAATTTTTTGAAAATCTCAGAGAGATTCGAGAATCTGCGAGTACAACAATGAAAAATTTAAGGTTTTTTTATATATATAAAAATGTAAAAGAGAGAGACTTTAAAAGTTAGGTGAGAGAGGAATGAGAGAAGTAAAGTCTATATAAGGCAAAGAAGGTGATAGGAAAGTAGAAAAAAGTGAGGTTATTATTATTTTCTCGAGAAAAATTTAAACTTTTAAAAGTGTTTTAGGGTTTAAAAAGATAGAGAGAATGGAGAAGAAAAGGGAAAGTTAGAGAAGATGAAACAGAAATGACAGAGAGGGAATCTTTGCTTCGGTGTGCTTTTCTCCTAATTTTTGTTCATCTTTTTGGGTAATTTACAAATATCCTTTTGATTAGAAAATTAACCTCAAATTTGGGTTAAGGAACGGAATTAAGAAATGGACGAAAAAAGCTCGTGTTGAAAAAAATGAAAACTTTTAAAAGTACAGTAGTAGTACTTGTGAGCCGGATTCATGCAAATGAATTCGGATTCTAGTGTTTTGATTTTTATTCTATTTTTTTTACGTCCAAGGACTATTAATTTCTACTTTGGTTTGAGTTTGACTGAAACCGAATCATTGTATTTGATTACAGTATTATTTGGAAATTCGTCCTCTTTCCTCTTCGTAACTGTTTTATTTTGATTTGGTCGTTGGACAATATGAAAAATCTTAATTATGAATATGAGATTGTAACGTAAAATCGTTGAATCTACTAGAAGTTATTATTATACCACGATAATTGATTGTGTATGTAGAGTCAACTTTCACACAAATATCATAAGAATTTTCAATAATTGATTACAACATAAACTATGGACCTTTTTCATTCGAGTGCATATTTACCACTTTCTTTTCGTCCTTCGAAAAAATATAAGTGGCATAGACTAACATAAAAGCAAAATGGGATACGTTAGTGAGAAATATTGGATTTTGGTATAAATTATGAACTTAGATAATAATTAAATTGTATATAATGATATTTTTTTAAAAAAATTATTTTAATTTTTATCAAATATTAGGGTATACGAAGGAATTAAATTTTGGGTATTCTCTTGTTGGATGCGTTATTTTGCACACGAAATATCTATTTTTCGAAACAAAAATATATTTTTTTGCTTTATACGTATCATTTTTGAATTTTTCTCTTGGTTTCGAGATTGAAACCACGCTACATGGTTCTGCTTACCCCCTTCTGACTAGAAGTCGCTTTTTCTTTTTTTTGAAATTCTCTGACTGGTTTTGGTTATAGAAATCCAAAAGCAAAATAGGATACGTTAGTGAGAAATATTGGATTTTGGTATAAATTATGAACTTAGATAATAATTAAATTGTGTATAATGATATTTTTTTAAAAAAAATTATTTAAATTTTTATTAAGTATTAGAGTATACGAAGGAATTAAATTTTGGGTATTCTCTTGTTTGATGCGTTATTTTGCACACGAAATATCTATTTTTCGAAACAAAAATATATTTTTTTGCTTTATACGTATCACTTTTAAATTTTTCCCTTGGTTTCGAGATTGAAACCACGCTACATGGTCCCGCTTACCCCCTTCTGACTAGAAGTTGCCTTTTCTTTTTTTTTGAAATTCTCTGACTGGTTTTGGTTATAGAAATCCAAAAGATATTTGGCCACAGTACTAGATCCGTCCACAGAGTTCATCTTACACAGTTGGAACTCTTGTTTGGCTCATCCCTGAAGCCCATTGATAAAGTGGAACACCAAGTCTTAGTCTGATAGATTTGGGAGCTGCCATGAGAGAGTAATAAAATCCTTGATATAGTCTCAGATCTTACCATTCTGTCGGAGTTTTCTCAGATTCCTATGTGCCTCATAAACCACATTTTCCGGATAGAACTGCCGCTTGAGTTCCCTTTTGAACTCCTCCCACGTATCCATCTGGCATGTGCCCCCTCTCAATGTCGTCGTGGTGGACAACATGACCGTATATGTGAGGTATGATATGGCTATATTGATCTGTTAACTCGACAATAAGACCAAGTTATCAAAGTACTGCTCCATCTGCCACATGAAGTTCTCAACTTCATTGGCATCCCTTGAGCCATCAAAACGTGAGGGTCTCGAAAAAATCATCCTTCCCGAGCATAAGTTGTTGATACCTTCATTGACAACTGCCCTCTTACATAATATGAGATCTTCTTGCATTGCCTCAATGCTCACCCTCAACATCTGGACTGCCCCATCATTGTATCCTCCAACTTGGTGAATCGCACCTTGATTACACCCAAGTCACTCTTGACTTCCACTACCTCGTTGAACACTGCATTCTCATGCTCAAAGTTTCACCTAAATAAAACTACTGCAAGTGCACAACAAATCAGATGTAGTATAAAGATTATCGAATCCCAAGAGACTTAAGATCATTACGCAACAGATTCTAGATTCGAATTAAGCTAAGTCAAATCAAATGTTTACAAATTAAAATAACTAAATGAAACGAAAGCAGACGATTGATTGGATGTTCTTAATATTTAAGAGATTAATACGCTAGGTCAGGATAATTCGCAAGTTGAATCCGAGAATGCAGAATGTAAACTATAAGGATATTACTAAAACCGTCTAGAACTCGAAACACTGATTTGAAACTATTCAACTCTCGTTGCAGGAGTTATCTATTCCTTAATTCTAGAATTTCAAATCTCTTTGCAAATTCTAATAATTCAAACAAGCATTAACGATCAGTTTCGATTGTTCACAAAACTCCTAAATCAAATCTTTTTGCAGATAGTAATTTTGCTCATCTATGATTAGTTCAAGTGATTAACAATGTTCTCACATCTATTAAACAACCTAGAATACAATTTCTGGATGACTAGTCCTAAAATCAAGATATGCGTAATCAAGATGAAGAGCCAATGGATTATTCCTGACAGTAAAACAAATCTACAAACTCATCATCAACCCTTAAACTAGTCAGACATGGTGAATTGAGAAAACATCATGAATAGAATAGATTGCATAAAAATAAATAAGAAATAGAGATAAAGGAGTTCAAAAACTGCTCTGAAAGAGTCTGATTTGTCTCTCCAAAAGGTCTGGTATAAATCTTTTTTTTCTCTCTCTATAAATTAAGAAACAAACCAAAAAAGTGGCTGAAAATCTAAAATATAGGCTAAAAACAAATTGGGGCCTTTTTGTAATTAATAAAACTTCTAGGCCAAAACTGTAATTCTTCCTTTAACTTTTAATTAGTCTGCGATGCTTCCTCCAGATGTGGGTGACGAGCATCACCCAGCAAGTGGTGACGATCATCACCAATCCACAATCACGTCTCCTTGTTGCTCTCATCGGGAAGGTCTCCAGTTTGGCTCCATAATGCTTCAAAATCTCCAATTATGCTCCCAACACCTATTAACCTATAAAGACTCGAACAGACTCTAAAAAGATCAAAAGACTCAATAAATAAGACTTATATCATGGTTAAAAACCATGATATATCAACTCTCCCAGACTTAGTTTTTGCTTGTCCTCAAGCAAACATAAGACTAAGAATAGAGTCGAGGTTTGAAAACGCGGGAACTCACCTTTTCATAGATCATTGTTTTGACTGTTCATCCTGTAATCCACATACTGCAGAAATTAAACCAAATCGAACCACCATGTACTTCTCCTTAGACATTCATAGCATCCAAAATTCAATTCATAAGTTCTTAGCATTATTAACTAACCATCCTTGCTAAACCTCATTAGCAGTATAAATATTCAAGAACATTCTAGATTCATTCTCATACTATACCTTAATAAATTAGCACTGCGATCTATCAACCTTTGGTACTCATTCTCTCCCCAGACTTATTCGTTTCTTATGTTTCATTATATTACTCATGTGTAGGTAAATAATGGTATCACGGGATAATCCTAACCTTGCTTCCACCTGTTATCATCTCTTTAAAATGAAATTCCGGAATCACTGGAAATTTTCCAACCCTTCATCCAAAGAGAATCATCTCAAAATTTCGAATAAATTTCATTTTTTTTTTATCAAACAAGGGAAAGAAGTACCATCACTTTTCAAATATTGCAGACAATTTATCAGGTATGAATGAGGAATCAAGCTCTATGAACATCAAACTTACAAACTTAGTTTTTTTAAGCTCAAGTTAAATGTACTTTATTGGACCTATGGATGTTTCTTGTTAACTGGTAAGCCTAAGGATTTTTCATTAGTTAGAAACTGGTATTAATCATGCTCATATGAAACAATCAACACAAACAATCAAAAAAATGTTCCTAGTTCCCAACTAAATTTGACTCAATAAAACAAGTTTTTGACACAAATGACTGACTCTCAAAACAAAACACAATGTCAGCAACTACCTCCCTTAGACTTAAACAACACTGTCATTAGTGTTATCAAGCCTGAAGTTGTTAAAATAGATGAAGTTGAATGGACATAAGAGAGAAAACCAAGTGTTTACCTGAGTCTGCAGCTGGTGATGCTCGTCACCAGGTGGTGACGCTCGTCGCGCCTTCTTGGTTACCACCTCGGTGATTATCTAGGTCATCACCACTCTGTCAAACCAATCAATTTTTTTTTCTTTTTTAACTCATCTGATTGTTAGAAGAATATAAACAAGTATATGTACATGAATTAGATGATCAATCAGTGGGTTGCCTCCCACCAAGCGCTTGTTTTCAGTCATTAGCTTGACTATGTCGAGGTTCAGACATCTGGTGGATCAGAAAGTGGCAGTGAATGCCTTGGAGAAGAATGTCTCCTCATCCATGGTGGTGTATAAGCAGTAGGTGCATGAGATCTTCCAAGGAAGTGAGAAACAACAGCAGAGCATGTTTTAACTTTGGGTGGGACACTTTTTTTTCCTGAAAAATCATCAAAGGAAACACCAAACCCTTTTACGAGAATCTTGTTGCTTGCATAAGTGTGAAGCAGCTTTTGCACATTTCTTAGAATTCTCATCCAATGCCTCATGAACAACCAGCTTGTTCACTTGCTCACTAGTATCCAACTTCTTGACATACCCTGCAGTAATGTCATATGAATGTTCCCTGATTAGATCTTCAACTATTGAAGTCTCTGCAGAAAAAGTCTGACCATCAATGGTGGAACTCCTTTTTAACTTGCCCATGTCA